ATAACACACAATAACATCACTCCTTTGTGATAATGGCATGCACGAAACAGTGCTGCATTTACCCCGACATCGAACCCCTAGTATCACACACATGTTAATTTACATCTCATGACGTTTCCTTCCGAGCTTGTGAGCAGGTGTTGCCGATGCACACCTGTAAACTTTCCCCACATATCAAATTCCCTGCGGCATTTGTACAAAAACATTCTGTCGATGCCAAGCTACCTTTCTTTGAATCTGTGCTGCACTCTGCACATCATCGCAAACAAACTGTCACCATGGCAGTTTGTTGCTGAACGTGAAATAAACAAAGACGAAACAGGAGATGTGTTTATTTGTAGAAGATGAAACAATTAAGGACGCCTGACAGGAAAATAAACACATTGAGGCAAAGCATCTGGAAGAATGGGGGGGGGGGGTTGTCTGCCGTGTTGTTGTTGTTTGTCGTGGAGCTTGTGGAGATGAGCCTAAAACCCGAGTCACTGTTCAGAGGAGACATACTATATAGCAGGAAAACAAATGAACAGATCTGACAAACAATTAACTCTGTTTATTTGTTGAAGAATAAGGAGAAACAACAGCTTAGAGTTTGCCTGAGTAGAATATTTTTGTTTGATCTTGTGTTTTTGCCTGTTTTTACAAAGCATGTTAGAGCCGGCCTATTTGTGCATGTGTGTGAGAGGCTTTGCCTGTCACTCATGTTAACTCAATGTGAAGAGGCTGCTCCAAGCGGAAAGTTGAGTCCTATATATTTGCCACAATGGCTGGTGTTATTAAGACCTTGATCCGTGTTTTCTTTCTGCATGGGGGGAGGTAAGCTACTAGATGCACTCTCTCTCTCTTTTCTGCGCTGTGTATGGGTGGGGTGGCATTGCTGAGTCTGGTTAAGAGGAGACACACACACAAACACAGCTCTGTAAACATCATTTTTTCAAACCACTGAGGTCAGTTTGCCGTTTGTGCGCAGGTTTACGCTCAATTAAAAAGCTTTTTTGGTGGAACATGTGAAAAAGAAATGTGGTTTGATGGACAAAAAGGTTGTTGATCTCAAAACAACACCAACAGCCTAATATATAAAGACGGGAGGATTATGCGACAGAGCAACAAACCTTCTCTGCTAGTTTGCATAATGAACGGTTTTGTTTGCCAGCGCTAAAAAATCTGATCTGAAGCAGATATTTCAGTTTCTAAATAGCATTTGGGTGTTGTGAACATATATTATAAACGTATCCTGCTCTGTACTGTATGTGGTTGTATACGCTCAGATAAACTATAATAGAAACAAGCACGCCTGCCAAACAACCTGCCAATCACTCGCAAGATCTAGATGACTGGAGGCCAGCAGAGGCAGCATTCATTTAAGTGATGTTAGGAACAAACAATCAAAAGTGCTGCAACACGTCCACATCAGCAAATGACATGTAACAATGGTGACATCTAATTTATAGCTCAAGGAGCGTGTACAAGCAAATAAACAGGCATCCCTGGTCCGCACGTCCCTCTCAATTTGCCTCTCCCACGGTCCATTGCCTTTCAGACGGAGGGGCGGAAGGAAAATAGAAAAGTTGAAAGTGTGCAACTTTAAGCTGATGTCTTGTTTATAGGCCCTTGCTTCTGTTCTCTGACAACCTGTGCAGGCACCCGGAAAACCCAAACCTCCCTGAACACAAGCACACAATAAAAAAGATTCCGCTTGCAGTTTAAGATGGCACAACATCTGAACTGGGGGTGGATGTGAGGAAGGAGGGGATGTTTTCAGCACTGTCGAGGAAGAAAGGAAACAATTTGAAAACATCTCCGCGTCTCTTCTCTCCTTTCATTCCTCTCTGATTTGCGCGTTCTCTCAGGCAGATGTTGTCGGCACCAACTTCACGGGGCATGACGCGTGGCAGAAACTTTGAACCTCACCGTGCCCCATCCAGGGGTTTCCAAGCCCCAGCCTAGTGATCTCGCTAACTGCCACGTTATCTTTGCATCGCCATGGCGACGCCTCCAGGTAACAAGGAGATTAGAAGCAGTCAGAGGCCCATGTACCACAGCAAAGCTTTAGCAAAAGGGGGTCTTTAAATATTTAAGGTATGAGTACGATCACACATTGTTACTCTAAGACGAGATGGGGAACAAAGAATACAAATCTTTCACTTGGAAATAATTTACATTTCATTGCGGAGACTCTGTTCTGAGACTAATGCAATTTCTGAGTGTTGAATTTGAGGGTTGTTTTGTATAAAAAGTATACAAAAAGTGTGTAGCTCTTCCTGAGAGCTAAAAATAAACAAAATTCCCATTTTCCCCAAAATTTCTCATCAGCATTCTGTCACTGCTAATGCAATTTTTATGCACTTTTCTGGCCGGCAATCGCATCAATAATTTGGGTGACAGAAATAATAAGCAAACAAATAAAACGTGGTGTAGCAGCCTTCTTTGGCCTCTTGTCAAAGTCAATTAGAGTCCTCAGGTAATGACCCTATTTGCATTGTAAAGCCAAGCCCTTGTGTGAAAGGGCTAATGGGGCCACTACCTGAGGAGATTAATTGAAAGTGACATTAACTTGAACTCTACTCTTACATCCCCCCCCCCCCCCCCCCCCCCCCCCCCCACTCGCACAGCCCTCTGAAAGATCATCTCATCTTATTTTTAATGTCGTGCCACAAGTCTAAACAGCGATTGGGACAAGGTACACATGTCCATATTGAGAGTGCCGCCTTATCCTTAAGAAAACTGCATGATTTTAGGTTTTACAAATATAAATGCAAAATAATGTATTTACAAAAAATTTAGGCCCACATGCTTTATGTACTTCTGTATTTAACAATTTAGCAACAAACTTTAAGATAAACTGCGTTATTACGTGACAATCACAAACAGTATTGTGTTTATAATCCATTATGACACAAACCATAATGCAACAATGTGTCATTTTCTGATATTCTCATGATTCTAAAAATTGCACACAGATGCTGACAGTTATTGTATCTGTATAATTATCTTTAATGACTCACAACACAATATCCTAAAGATATCAAAATGAATCGACATCTAGGTAATGAGGGCTATTATGGATCTTATGGCACGTGCAGTTACAATTTCTGAAAAGAAGCATTGATGTTCCATCTGGAAAAAAAACAGGTGAATAAAGAGAAGTGTCAGACATTACTGGCACCCCCTTTTGTCCTGTCTAATTAGTCATATTATATGTAATTATAATATGGTTATAATCTTATCAGTATACAACTCTCACGTATACCGCCAACATGAAAACGAAAAACACAAAACACCATGAAATGAACCCATCTGCTTTTTTTCTCATGAAGCAACAGCAAAAAGCTGCAGTGTGTTCTTGTGTCTGAGGGCAGGCAACTTTCATTTTCTGAGTGAAAGAGTTGTATCCCACCCAATTGAGCAGGAAGAAGGGATGGATGGATGGATACGAGGCTTGTCAAAGGAGGCGGCTGCCGCCACACTGTAATTTATTTAATATTGTAAGAGAAATGACCTTGAGATCAGAGAAGTACTGAATTTCTCCCCAGACGGCAAACAGAAACAATGGAGCCGTCCTAATTGTGACATTACAATCCAGCACACAGTGAGCGATCAGAGGGGGATTGATTAGAGGAGTGGAAAGGTGGACGACTTTGTGAAAAGGTCACTGCATACTCTACCTGGAGTTTTTAATATTTTCAACCCTCTGCCTCCTCTGTGAATGTGGAATAAAGTGAAAGAAAGAAAGAAAAAGTACAACTCCTGTGTGATTACAGACTTTCTGGACAGTGATATTTTCCCCAACACATTAGTGAAATAAGATGGTAATTTCCTGGGGCCAGGGTGTATCCAGGCAGAAAATAATAAAAGGAAATATATAGAGAATGGAACGGGGGGGGGGGGGGGGTGTTCTTCCTCTCTGCTCCTCCAGCAGGGGGCTGACGTGGAGGTTAATTGAGGGGTTAACAGGGGGTGGTGTCGGCTGAAGGTCAGACTGCTGTTCCAGCCAGCAGGAGGTCCCTGATCCCTGATGACCTAATTGAGTGTTGTTGGCCATGTTTCTATGTTAGTGCTAACGCTGCTGCCAGGTGAGCACCCTCTCTAATAGAGAAAGGACCAGAGGAGGACCAGCACAGAGCCGAGAAGGGCCAGAGGGGAGAGGTTACAGATGTGGCAATCATGAAACTCACACTTTCTGCTGCACCGCTGCCAAATCCAAAAATTTAAAAGAGAAAATACAAACCGGCGTTCAGAACACACAAGTCTACCATTAGAGACAACTCTGATATTATAATATTATTCAAGATTAAAATGTCTGCAACCAGTTGCTGCAATAATAATGCATGTTGAGTAATGGCAACCAGAACTAGAGACAGTATAAATATAAAGGAGACAGTTAAGGATGTAATAATATGAACACACAAAACCAGCCGCTGCAAAACTATTAATTAGAGACCAATAACAGAAGTAGGGGGAAATGGCAACATATTAAAAATTATTTTCAATATTGATCTGCTGAAAATCTTCTTGATTAATCAATTAACCATCAGAAAATAGTGAAAAATGCCCATTATAATTGTGAAAAATACCCATTATAATTTTGCCATAGTTCAAGCAGATGTATTCAAATGTCTTGTTTTATTGGACCAACAGTCCAAACATACTGAGTTTACTATCACATAACAACGAAAAGCAAGATATCCTCAAATTTGAAAAGACTGAACCAGCAAGCTGAAGTTGATACCTTAGAAATGGAATGTACATGGAAAAAAAGACATTTTCATGTGACAACAGTGTCTTTTGTGGGAGGAGGAGGAGTCCAAAACACAAAATGTAAATTACAACATATATGTCTAGACGCAAGAAAAACAAGACTCCATATTCAATGAGAAGAAAGGCTTGATCATGTTTCCCGTGGTGCTACCCGAGTGGACTGAAAGGAGAGTTTGCTAGTCTAACACCTGGAACATGATGAAGAAATAAATGACAGCCACAAAATGTGCGCAAAACAATAATCATCCATTTTTGGTAATGTTTTTATTTTTTTTTTAAATCTATTCTCTTTCAGATTGACACAAAACTAATAAAACGAGTTGTGAACTCCAAGTTGAGTAATGATGCATTGAGATGAAATTGAGAAAGATCAAGTGTAGACACAATAAAACAAAAATAAAACATACAACAGTATAGTATAATAGGACATAGACTGTAGCTACACGTATACACTTTCTTTTTAGATGAACTCTTCACATTATCTATATAGTGTTTTCTTGACACTCTTTAGCCCGTAACAAACTTGTGGCATGAGTTAGTCATAAACATGAAAATGAGGTTTACTTTCTGCACATTATCTGCTGCAGAGGTGCCCATCCAACCTTTTTATACACAATAACAGTGCGCCATTAAGACAGGCTATACATGACAGCACATTATCTTTGTTGGCGTTTGGGACATTTTTTTGTTACCATTTAGCAAGCAGTGCTAATGAGGGCCAGCGTTAAGTATCATCACTTAAACAACATCAAAGCGTATCTCTGAGACAAGAAAATGACTCCACTGGTGATTCACTACAAACTCATCTTGAGATACACAGAATTAAGGAACAGAAAAAAAGGAGAAGAAAACTGCCTTTACCCTGCATTAGTTTACCATTTCAACATGACAGTTCATGATTCCTTTTTTGTATTGTGAGTCACTGGGCTTGATACTCGAAAGCCGCTTATATGGCAACCAGGGTCACCGTTTTTTAATTCCTTATCACATCCCTCATGAACAGAGTGCAGTTCAAAAAGTCATACTTACACAGTATGTATGTAATATAGCATCACAGAAAAGACTTGTACCATATGTAGCTGACAAAGCCTAATCTAAACGTTAGAAGAAGACTCATAGAAATAAAAGACATAAGCTGTACACATTGTTCATCTTAACGTTGCAGAGACCTGTACAGTGAGCTGGTCAGAATGTATTGTATTAAAAATGTGAGTAACTGCATTGTATTTCCAGTAAACCCAAGGCTTAAAATACTGCCAAATCAGGATAGAGATGAGATTCTTTGGCACAACATGTTTTCATAGACCTTCCAGCACTTTGTAAGATTTAGCAATCAGCAATTTTGTGCAGTTTTTCTGTAATAATAGGCCTCTTCAATAAAAAAAAGTGCTTGAAATGGAAAAAGTAAAAAACAGGCACATTCTTTACCTTTTGTTTTAGAAAGTGGTAGATGATGTGATGTCCTGATTCACCTTTCATATTTCACCAGTTTCAACTGTTCTACAGTGCTACAGTAGATCCGTGTAAATGAAAGTCTGTGTTACAAAACTACAGATTGCAACTAAGAATGTGGAAGTGTCACATAAACCTTTTACAGTGTTGTACAGTAAGACTGCAACCTCAGTTTTTCTGCATAAAAAACACATGTATTGAAAAGTAAAACAGAGTAAATGTAATCATTTTGTTTAGTGTACACACGTTGGTCATCAAAATGACTTAAAGAGTCAAGATTAGATACAATTAGACAGCATTCCTGATGTAACTATAAAATCTTTAAGGCAGTCTGTGATAATACTTCTTATGCAAAGAATAGAATACTTAACAGAAATGATTTACTATACACTGCAGATTTAACTGACATGTTCATATATCTGGAGTTACTTCTAGCCCCTGTTGAGCTGGTTTTGATGGAGAAGCCCAGTGTCAAAATACATCTTTCAAAGCATGCTTTACTCAACCACACTATACTAATGCACACACACACACACACACACACACACACACACACACACACACGCGTTCCCTCTATGTCTGTTTCTGAATTCAAAGTGACAGCAGCAGCCGTTTCCTTCCATTCTTCCATCCAGAGTCCAGTTATCCCCCGCAGAGACACCCGGGTCCACACCAGTACAGGCCTCCCTATGTCGGGAAGCAGATGCCACAGCACTCCATACAGATTTCCAGGCAATCTGAGGACTCGCAGCATGCATCCATGATGCCACAGTCCATGTCACAGGGGCAGTTGCAGTCATCGCCCAGGTCGTCGCTGCAGCAGCAGCAGCAGCAAGCCTCTGATGTGCATGCGCCGCATGAGGCCTGTGCCACCACCATGTTGCAAAGTGTCAGGAACTCACAGAACAGACAGGCCAAGATGCAGTGGACGCAGCAATCTGGGGCAGCATCAAACCAGCCAGGGTGACAAGTTGTGAAGCAAAATAAATGTGTGAATAAAGTAAATCATCAATCAAAAAAAACAAGCACAGACATAAAACACACAAATATACAAACTAAAAAAAATCCATCTGTAATAAAATTAACTAAATTAGTGCCTATTAATGAAAACAGTGCAGAGCAGAGTGAGTGAGTGAGGACTTGCATGCTCGGCAGGCTGACAGGTGGAACAGAGTAGGTATGTGGTAAAAGAGTGAGGGCTAACTAGGCAGGGGGGCTACAGGAAATAAGAGAAATTCAAAGAAATGAATTCCTCTCCTGCAGTTTTGATTAACGGACTGTTAAATAATTGTAGCATTATCATGCAAACTGCTAGGTTGATCACACAAAGATGATTAGCAAAGTCCAAGAGTCTCTTCCAGTAAATAGGTGGATTAATGCTGGCAATGCTCACACCTCTGATTAACATTTAACCTCTTCACAGACCCTCTTTAAATAGCTGGTGTTTCAGCTTGTTGTTTCACAGCAATAAAGAGTTCCCCTTTAAATTACCAATACGCCCATTAACCACCACAAATCTGTTTCTGAATGTCTGAATGAGGTGCATTAAAATGCTTCGGTGTTGAATAGTTCATTAAAAGAACGAATAAAAAGTTTACATAGAAACTTCCACTGACACAGTATGCTAATAATGCCATGCACAGTAGTGTAGAATGTAGAGTCCCAGAGTTCTCTTCCCAAATTCTTTGACTCCGATGAGAAAAAGCCATTACATAAAACACGAGCTTTATACAGAGGTGTTATATACAGTCATTTAATCAAATCAGTCACTTTATAAAAGCTGATGTTACTTTTTCCTTTTTCCTCTTCATGTGCAATGTAGGATACAATAAAGCAAAACCAAAAAAGGTTAGCACAGAAGGTGAGGTTAAATACGTAGATTGTTTGTGCATAGGTCACAGATAAACCGCTGCACAAATAAGAGATAAATGTACACAATTTATGTTGTCATCAATCAAGCTGCTCCACACCAGAACTTCTGTAGTTGTATCTAAGTCACTAAATCATACTAAATATAATTCAGTAAGTACGCCTGGCATACATTCCTTGCAGCCGTCTCCTTTTTGAACCAAGGCCAGTGCAGCGCCACTGCTTTGGAGTGTTAAAAAGACATGATGTGGATGTATGCAGAAAAAGAGCATTACAAACAGGGCACATTTGCATAACTTTCATCAGCCCATCTTGAGCTGTCAGAAGGGGCTGTTACTGATTGGGTTAGAGGGAAAGCGAAAGGAGCAGAGTGTGGAGGACGGCATGGGAAGGCAAGCTGTGGACCGCTGGATGCTCATGTTTGATTAATCAAAGTAGAGGGGGGTTTTTTTCTTCCTATTTTTGCGGTGCTCAGGGCTGCAGAGCTGACCAGAAGCACTAGCTGACTGTGATACAAACAAGATAGAGAAGGGAACTTGAAACGAGCAAGTGTGTGCGCACGTGTGTGTGTGTCTGTGAAGGTGCCTGAAGTTTGAATGCATCTTATTATCCTTATCTGAGGCCATAACACTGGCAGTGCTGGAAGATGCATGAGAATAAATCCTTCACTACTGAACATCTGATGTGGACATGCAGTAAATTGCTGTTGGGCAGATTGTGGATTTGTTTCATGCTGGCATCCGCTGCAGTGTACTGCCATCTGAGTGCTACAAAATGCCAATGAGAACAATAAACGCTGCCTGGCCACAGCTCCATGCACAAAACCTCAAAGTTCAGCCTAACAAACTTTGAAGGACCCAGAGGGTATAGCCATGCCAGCATTCAGAATGTGAATACGATATAAACACAGTACATAGGCATTAAGCAGCGGCCGGCCATCTCAGCTATTCACTTGGATGTATAATTCAACACCAGCGATTAGTCTGGATCTTAGAGAAGCCAGTAAGAAAGAAGGGAACGGGGGGGGGTCGTATACTGTACACAAGAGAGCTGGACGCGAGGCACATCTCCATGAAAACAGAGAGAGACAGACAGAAAGGCAGACAGAGACACAGAGTGAAACCAACCAACAGACAGACAGAACAGCACACACTGACACTGCTCCTGTTTAATGTCAGTGAGCAGCGATGAAGCCCAGAGTTTGCAGGGCCAAAAACAGCGTCCGGCGCCTCTGAGGAAATAGTTTGAGACATCTGGAAAGCTAACATCAAAAAAAAGGGAGCGGCATGACACAAAACAAGCTGGATGGGCCTCAGAGCAGCAAGCTGTGCAAAACATTCAAACTCACAAAGAGAGAGAGAGGGCAAAATGGCTAGACAGACAAAGATAAAGAGAGAGAGATTGATCAGAAAAAGCCTTGGTGGCCATGGGAATGCACAGAAGGCACACATGGGTAAAGAGGCCAGAGGATGTGGGCTGGATAGTGGAGGTCCACAACATGCACTTTAAAGCAGGAGTGTTTATAATGCATGACTGAGGGAAAAGTCAAAGCAAGAGGACTAGCGCTTACACAACACACACACAAACACATGGAGGTTTATAGCTTAGGCAAAGACTGTGCTTGTGGCCATGGCCCTAAATCTCTAAATGAGGCTAAAGCAGCTTGGAGACTGTAACTGATTACACACAATTAACAAAAACACAAACTGGATGACAAGAGTTGAGACAACCCACCCTGCTGAACAAAGGCAGTGTGGTAAATGACTCCTCAGAAGCTGCGGTGTTATCACAGATTGGCTACGGTGCCAACGGCATGTGCCAAGAAACACAGGCAGCTGAAGAATCCCCAGAGCTAGCTCCTGCTAGTTTACGCCTTTTATTTCCTGTGTTCAGGGGGCTGTTTAGGAGGCTAATTTCACAGGCAAACAGATTATGTTAATCCGTGTAAACATTCAAACACCACAGCTTGACTGTTTTCCAGGGGGAAATAAATAGTTAAGAGCGAACATATTGATTCTGAGAGCTCTCGCATCTGCAAATAAGCAACACAAAAGCCATAATGAGACAGACTTGTTTTATTTTTTATTTTTTCTTCTGTTCTTTACCAATTAAGTTGTTGAAAACATGACGTGTCTGGGATATCTCTGGTGGATGCATCCCACCTTTACTTGCGAGGTGTTGTGGATGTGTGCGTGTGCTTTCTTGTTTTGTTCACCTGCATCTCGATCTGATGCATATTTCAAGTGAAGCACCATCAAATAAAGATCCAACTGCCCACTTTTCTCCTTCATTTAAACTTGTATCTCAACCTGGCCATTGTAAATCTTTTAATAACACATAACGCATTTTATTTATCATCTTCACCTTGGAGTAAAAGCCCACATAAAACAGCAAAGGATGTTAGATGGATGAATAGGTAGGAACCCTCTCCTTTAAGACTAAACGCCCATATTGTCCATGCTACAGAACACGGAAAGAACACATGCATGTTCACAAACACACGCACAGCCACAGACTACAGTAGTTGAGGTGTAGGAGGAGGGATGCGACAGGACCCTGCTAATGAGGGCCAGGGTGGTGCTGACGGGTTGTAGGGAGAGCCAGAAAGGGCCCAGAGAGGTGTGAGGGGCCATGAGGGGCCCAAAGAAGGTTGGTCACGACTTTTAATAGGCACCCCAGTGCTCTCAGGCCTTGTTAGAGGGTCACACCTATCTCCCCAATAGAAAGGGACCAGCCAACTGCCTTCATTACTGGACTCACCTCGGCCTTGCACCTGACAAAGTGACGGCTTCCCTGTGTGGCAAACGGACTCTCTGACTTGTTGTTAAAGAAAATAAAAGCCACATGAGCGGGATAAGCTGTCATTTGCTTGACGGGAGTGATAAATATGAGAGGTCATGCACTCCCATCATTAAAAGGTGAGAGAAGGTAAGAATTTGTTATCAATATCTTATATGGTATTATTTCAGGACTGCCTCCTTCAACAGAATAGGTCCTTCAATGGAGAAATCACTTTAATGGTGATTGTTTGATGGTGTATCATCTCACTGTGTGACTGCATAGTAAGGATGACTTGTATCAGGTGTTATTGCCTCTTATTCTGATCAGGTTAGACATGACTGCATTTCTGTCATTTCATTTTTAACTACTTAAATCTACCAATTCAAGTATTTTAAGGCCATGGTATAATGAGTGGTGTGTTCTTATTTGACAAAAATAAATATGTAACAACATTTATGATTAATCATCAATAGTTTCAAGTGTTTTAATGGAGTGCAATTAGATGTTTGGAGCATAGTTTGTTACAATAAACTGAATGTGTCACAATACAAATAATTAAAAAAAAAGAGACATGCTATTACAGAGGGATTTAATTAATGACCAACAGAAGATGGGATACAGAAAGAGGCATGCAAGCAAACAAGTCAGAACAGTTAGTATGAGTATCAATATTGTGTGTAGATACTCACCCTCTGGTAAAGGATGTTTCTGTGACCCTGTGGAACTGCCTTTGCTGCGTCGGCTGCTGTCACTGTTGACTGACAAGCTGGACCTCAATTTCCTCTGCATCCTCTGCGACACAGGCGTGGACGGCTGCTTCCTGGGCTGCTCTGTCGTCGCGGTCGCCACTGTTCTTGTGCCAGGGCCTGACCCACCCGTGGCACCCATGCTGATGCTGGCACCACAGGAGCATGTGCGCGTGGCCCCAGCCCCGCCGATGCCAGGGTGGATTCCGTTGCCGTTACTCAGCGCGGGCGTGCCAGTGCTGTTTTGGCGAAAGCCATTTTGGTCGGCAGCCTCCGAGGGCACTGGCTGGGACTCAGATTGAGGTTGAGCTGGAGGGAGACATCAAAAAGGATTTAGTTTTCATGTTTGGTAAAGACTTGGGTGTGCAATTTCAGGACAATTACTTAAATAAGTGTTTAAGGACAGTTTCCCTGGAATATTTCCAGCTTTCTTGCATTTATTCAGCTGAAGAAACTGCAAGCTAGGAGTCTTAATGCAAGACAATCAATTAAAACTGAGTATTCAAATAAAACAGCTGTCTACTTATTCAAACATACATGTTTGATGTGAATCTAGAGAACAAAACACTACCAAACATTAAAATACAAAAGCATCAAAAGGAAGTAGTGGTTTACTTTAATAACTTACTTAGTATTTGTAGTGTCGATTTCACATGGAAGACAAAGACGTGTGGATTCCTTTTACTCTTATGGTAGTAAATGCGTGATAACACTGTAACTTTATTTTAACTGAAGAGAACTGCACTTTCTGCACCTTGCGCTTCATATCTTTTACTCATATATAAAGTCGCTGTAGCATGTGATGTTCAATCTTGCAAACCGAATACAATAATGGAGACACAGCACTCTCAGCTAAAAAATTCTCAGCAAATCTTGCCACCAATCTTTCCTAACATGATAATATCGATCATACGGCAAACATCTCAACCCAGAATGACAGGGAAGAAGCGGAGAGATATACAAGCCTCATATGTGACAGGTTCACAAAAGCCACTGCTGTAGGCAGACAAGACATTTATGGGAGCAGTACCCAGGTGAGTTGAGACAGTGTGCAAGAGATTAATGCAGTAAAAAGAGAAAGAGAGTCTGTGATACTGTGCATATACAAAATAGCTGCTGTCTGCAACAGTAATGATCTCCTTTCCTCTGAAAGCTCGGAGATGGCCTCAACTAGTCTTTCTAAGTGTATGTATGACAGCCACAGAAAGTCAGGAGACAGCGACCTGTCTGATAAGAAAGAAGGCGAAGGATGTGAGTGAGCAAAGGAGGAGGCATTTTACTGAGAGGAACACATTTTACTGAGGGGAACACCTGCACATTCAGCTCTACTGGGAGTTACTCCTGCATTACCTTCCCTACACATCAGTGCCACTGTGCATGTGCAGTCAGTTCACGGTTAACTTGAGAGTTTGTGAATTATTCATCTCTTTTTAAGTATGTCTGTGTGAACTATACTTTTTTTATACTTTTTTTGTATTCTATACTTTCTGTATATACATTGAATATATGGTATCTTCACCACCAACTTCTGTCTTATTTAGCAGCTGTGTAACACAAGCTGAGGAAAATCCTCTGGAGCTCTGTTTAAGTGTTTTGCAGCTGTCCAAAAATCAACAAATTTTCCAAAGTGGATGCACACTTAATATTGAACTTGGTAATTTCTTTCCATCACTATTTTCTTTCTGTCAGCTCACCAACAAGTGCAATTACGGTTAACAAGAGAGGGAGAGAGTGTGGGAATCGGGCCTCGCGCTTTTTAACAACACATCACCCTGGGAGAGGCCGGACGTGAATGTGGATGTAAAACAAAGCAATTAAATACACACACTGGGTTTTTGCCTTCTCCTCATTCAGGCTCCTGCATGCTGCTTCGATAAACAAATATAGACTTTAGGGATCAGGATTCCATGCAATTTGAATTAGACAACTGGGTAGCACCCGATAGAATTCATTATTCAGTGATTTAAGACCAGGTTGATGGATTTTCTTCTCCAAAAGACAAAAGCCTTGCGGCCTGCCCATGACAATGTGGGGGGAGACTGAAGCTTGCTAACAAGGAGACTGAGAGAAGGCTATGTATGTTGTTTTTCTTCAGTTTTACCCCTGACAGCTGTAATTTGCTATGTTTCCCCCTCCATTTTAATAAATGCACCTTTTTTCACCAGTCTTTTCCTTTAATGCTTAGAAAACCATTATTATAAAGAAAGCTAGGAACACACACACACACACACACACACACACACACACACACACACACCATTGTAGGGTTTTCTACATATCAACACAGTTGCCTTTCCAGGAAGATTTTCTGTTACAAATTAAATCTCTAACTTGTGAAAGTGGCATCCCATTATAGTGATCTAGTTGCGCAAATGTTACTTTGAGCCAGTTGAGGTAGGCCTAAGTCAGCTCACTTACTGTTGTAATAAACAAACCAAAAGTTAGCTTTCAGAAAGCTGTGACATTTTTCTAGATATTTTAACTTGCAGAACTGGCAGAATTCCAAAATGAAAACCAGGAAGCCAACTCTTCTTATCACACTGCCGGTGACTTCTCACATTATTTGATTCCTCAGATATAGCTACATGTTTTGACTGGTACACACAAAAAGCACCGGCTGACATTAATGGGGCTGACAGGGGAAATCCTCCTTAGCTAACGATTAACTTTTCCAAGTTCATTTGCAAAGACCCCATACAAACATACCACAACTCACAGCTAACATTGCAGTTGTGAGTATTGTCAACACAACACAGCAATCTCCCGTCTAGAGGATGACAGTTCCTTAACAAATCAATCACCCATAGTATCTTGCAGAATAATAACAGTCGTTTTCCCCATTTAGGTTACACAAACTAGCCACAACGAGCCCACACACACACATGAACACACGTTCATGCACAAAAAGGCCAAAGTAGACTTGGAGGCATAATTACCTTTCCTTTTGAGGAAGTCAAGCTTTCAATTTACCAAAGTAAAAATAGTTATTAAGAAACCACCACATAAAACCCAGAGTACATAAGCAGGGACTCAGGTTTCTTGCAAAGCCCTAAAAAGTGGTTCAAGTCTGCAGAGAAGTGTGCTTCAGTGGCAGGTTTCTGGAGAGTCGCAGTCTTATTTTTATCCTGATGAGCATGGTGACTAAGATGAATGGACACAATGGAGTAATATTCATATTCATTGATCATGATAATGATGATGCTGTCAACTGTGGCAATGACAGAATTGTACAATCACCATGAAACAAATGAAGACATAATGAGAGAAAGCAGAAATACAGTAAGTCCTGTTGAAATTGTGCTACGCTGGTAAGCTACGGCATCAGAAAATTTCACTGTACATGCAGTGCAGTGAAAAAATTTTTAATATGCTCTGACTACATGATAAAGAGCATTTGGTTGTTCAGTATCCAACTACATACAATTCGGGGTGGGGGGTGGGGGGGGATGTACCAAACAGCCATTGTGCATTTTTGCATTGTATTAGTCAATCTAAATTAATTAGACTGAGAACTTTCCTTATTATAGACATTTTAGAAACAAGCAAACAACTGTTATGAGCTTTTATTATGGGTTTACACAAGAATGGACTTGATAGTTTCAAGGAATTTTTTTAACATAAAGATTAATTCTGCATCTGTTAATAAACCCTGACAGAGCAACATAGACACACTGCTACAGAATTGTTCCTATAGCACTGCAGGAAACACAACCTGCATCAAAATTTGATATAAACAAGTTTCTTTTTAAATCATACGAGTTGTGCAGTTGCCACAAGCTTGTAGAGAAGAGTAGGTGTCCTGAGATAACTGAATGTACACTACCTGACAGGCTGCATTAAAACAACATGTTTTGGGGGAAGAACTGGACACACACACACACACACACTCACTTCAAATTGGACTTATAACTCCCTATTTCTAGCACATCAACAACTGTTGAGAGTGTACATTTGTAGTTGAATAAAACATGGTATTCCCCTACACACGCTGTCACACACATCACAGGGGAAACTAGGGGGTGAGTGGTTCTTGACTGTCTAAGCAGCATCCCAATTTGGTCCCAGTTACTAGTAGCTGACAGCCTCAAATATCAGGGGAGCATTTTTAAAAGGCCAGTGTTTGATGGATTCATGAAGAACACACAAATATAATTGCCATTTGTCACCAAGTCTTCAGTGCCTGCGCCACACAGGGACCGAACACCGGAGTGCCTGGAGAGCGCTGGAGCTGCGCCAGAGCTGTGCGGGGGATAGCTCTGTATGTAAAACTGAGTATATAAACACCTTCGTTTTTGTCACAGAAAATAGGTCCTGCAGGAGGGAGCTGGAAATTGCACCCAAAAGACAGAAGAAAGAAGAAGAGTATATATGTGTGTCACAAGCCTACTGGATCTCTCTCTCTCTCGCTCGTTCTCTCATACACACACACACACACACACGCAGAAGCAGACCTACCAGGAAGGAATATGCATGCATGTCAACTGAAACAGAGCTGCATAAACAAGAATTCTAAAACAGTCGGAACATGAAAATATAACACAGAGGTCAAACAGGGCAGTATGGAGATTCTCATTTGCACACGGCTATGCCGAGAGTCGCAGGTAAGGCAACAACCACACAGGCTGTGTTTCTAAAGCTCAGTCCTTTTTAATATTAATGCCCCTGAGACAGAGAGAAAGAGGGAGAAGAGAGACGATGTGGTGTTTGCCTAGGCTTATTAGAATGCCCATCATAGAGAGCATACAGTTATTCAAATGTCACATCATGTCAGCCAAATAAACACCACAATCCAGATCTTGTATTTATCCCCTAATAGCCATTATTACACAATGCTATGAGTTTGTGAGTTAACACTAAATGGAATATGAGAGCAGAAGAGGCACCTTTATTTTTTTATGGGTCCTAAACAGCAACGGGCAGAATACATTGGGACAGTTAGCTCTGAAATGCTAATTCTAGTGTTTTGTTTATCTTTTTGTGCCTTGTATTAGAAAAACATGTATATTTTCTGCTCAGCTGGCCATGTACCTGCATGATTGAAATGCTAATTTGTAAATGTGCAATGACCTAGCCACACTCCTCTTACCACCACCATCCCCTCCTCTCTCTCTGCCAAAACAGCCTGAGGTATCATCTCTCCTCCTAACAAACAGCAGCGTGTGGAACAGCCCCTGTCTTTCAATCCAAAGGGATATATTTTCTCATTAGAAATTATACATCTTCCCTGTCCATATTTATAGACGCAAAACCAGGGGAATTATACTGCAGAGAGAGTGAGAGGGACAGAGAGAGAGAGGAAAATAGTACAA